TTCCTCGGGAGATTGCATTAACTGAAAATCCAAGTTCGAAGTGTGTCTGCTTGTGCCTCCTAAACCATTGAAATCCATAGCAAATCCCTCCGCTTTTGTTGAGAAGCACCAACCTTCCGGTGAGCCACCCGCCACCGTGCTCACCGCTGTCCTGAGCCCGCATCCGATGCCTGACACAAACGGTCATAAATGAGGTCAACGATGGTCAACGCATGTCACTTAAGTAAGAAATCCATACATACATTGCATGGTCCTTGAAGGACCTTCATCAAACCATATCAAACACAATCATGGTTCTGATGTCCGTTTCCACAGACTGGTGTCGCCAGATTGTGACTCGGTGGGGAATGAGGATGGCTAGGTCCCCAGATTCCTTTCGATCCAGCCACCCCCATTCTCTGTTCGCATCAGCCAGTACGTCCAAGCCGTTCAGGGACTTCAGGGAGAAGCCCTTTGTTCCGTTCGTAGCATCCTTGTTCCGTTCGTAAGGCCAGGTTGTTCCCGTTCGAGTCGCGTCCGATCGCTCCGTTCGAGTCGCGATGCTTCCCGTTGGCCCCTAGGGAACGTAGCTTCTTGTTCCTATTGATCTTCTTTGTGAAATTGAGCATCCCGCTTTCCGGATCGCTTGGCTCTGAACATGGCTTCACCAGGCTTCACCAGCCGCGGCGGATCGACTGTCACGAGTCAAACCTCCGTGACCGCCCGCCTCTGCGAGCGAAGGCTAGGAGAGGCCTGCTTGGACGAAACAACACGTGTGGGTCGAACCGCCTCTGAATGTCCGCTTTCTGGAAAGAAAAAGGTACCCGGAGTCTCCATGTACTTACACAACATGTGATATATATATAATAGATGCACACATTGTTTTGGACTCATTGTGCGGTTGGAGAACTCTGTAGCTATATTGTGTTTGGAACATGAACCTTTTTGGATGCATGGCAGGATTGCTTTTGCGCACCAACACAGATGGCTCCACAAAGACTCGCAGGGCACAGCCACTTCGACCTCATCCACGCTAACGAAGCATCCGAAACGCAGCGTGTCGGCGCGTTGAAAGTGGTGCTGCTCTATGATGGGGGCAGAAAATAGACTCTGAACCATGCGTGGGACTTTTTTCCCGACGCCCTTTTCATCTGAGATGGACGCGACTGGTTTTTTACACAGCCCCGCTGGAAGGAAACAAACAAACAAGCTGCGCCCCCAGCAAATGCAGATCATCACTCGGAATCAGAGTTTATAGAGTCTCACGTCACACGTTTAATGAAGGACCTCAGCACGTGAATGTGAAGAGAAGAAGCAAACGCGGCCACTTCACTTCTATCTTCTATCAGAATGCATGCCATCCTGGTAGACTTCGTGCCTTTCTGAAACAAGGACAGACTCCCCTGGCATCATGTACCTGGCAACTACATCAACACCGGCGCGTCGCGTCGCGTCCCGCGTCTCGTGCGCCCGGGGTGCCGAGCGATTTCTGCACATCGCAGCCACCACGACGATGGCTGGACGGCGTGACGGACGTGCGAGGACGTGACGGCGTGGCCACGGTGATTGGTATGACCTTTTGGGCAAGGGACTCATTTGCGACACCAAATCTGACTCATTTGCGACACCAAATCTGACTCATTTGCGACACCACCACCCCCCTGTATTCCTCTCATGTACGACACCAAATCTCTCTCATTCGCGACACAGACACATACACACATATGATTGCACGCATTAGGTTGGGTGGGACATTAGGTTGGGGTGGGGTGAGGTGGGGCATTAGGTTGGGTGGGGGGGGGGGGGGGGGTTTAGGGGTGGGGTGGGACATTAGGTTGTTGGGCTTCAGAGTTTAGAGTGGCATTTGGTGGAATTGGTGTGGAGCTGGATTGGAGCTTTATGACTTTATGAGAACCAAGCTTGGGCCCAGAAGCACACAGATTCTCTAAAAGAAAAGCTCTCCGCGTCACAACTGAGAAAAGCTCTCCGCGTCACATTCGAGACAAAAAAACGCGTCACAACCGAGACCCTTTCCTGTCAATGTCTCTCTGCACTGGTTGTATCCTCTTTGTGTTTTGGTTTATATTTCAGACTCTTTTAAATTGTTTTTATGATCTTATATTAATGGGAGATGCTACAATCGCTACGACCCCAGGTTGACTTCGATTGTTCATGACTCATTGTGCAGAAAGATTTTTCGATGAGTCTGCACCTCTTTCCTCGCAAAAAAAAAACACAACGGCCTTTGGAAGGAGGGCGAAAGGCAATCTTCCTGTTACGACCATTTCATGTGGTACTGTAGTACTCCAAGCCATTCTGTGTAGGGGAACAAAGGGATCGCCGGGTCTTGGCGATCAAGTCGCATGAGACGTGGCGGAAATCCGGTAGAACCTGATCTAGACTCTCACGAGTTAAGATGCGTGATGATGCTGTGACATGTTGGATAAGCCTGTCCACCTGATTGCATATATTAAAACTAAATGTAAACTCAAATGTATATACCCTAGACGTCCAAAGACTATATGTTGACCGACTGAAGTGAAGCATATTCCTTGACTTGGGTCACCTACTCAGACCATTCTTTTGATAGTCGACTGGACTCCCAGGGTATAATATATATATATATATATATATGCGTTACATCTTCAGACCATCTTCCAGAAAAAGACACCAGTGCCTTACAAGTCCAGTCTGACCCAGGTCCAAACCTTGTCTCCTCCTTAAGTATTGATTTTGAAGGACCATCTGCAGTAGTAGAAAGAGGTCTTTCACTTGTAACGGGTGGTGTTCCAGCTCTCCCATCTCCTGAGCCCAAACAGCCAGGCAATCCGGACCTGCAAGGCATCTCAAGCCCCGCCACCAGCATCGGGCCTGGCCACTCGCTCACTCGGAGTCCAAGCCCCAAGTTCTTTTGATTTGTGTTAAACAAACACCTAATATATCCTAATATATAGATCTAAGGCTTCATGGATCTTTTTTTCCACCAGTTTTCCGTTCAAGACGTGGGGCTGAAGCATACGCAGGGAGACATGAATGTGCCCAGCGAGCCACATGACCCAGCAAATATGCCTTGTAGGCCTTCTGGGGGGATTAAACATTGAACATTTTAGCATCAAATTAAAAAAAGTTTTTTCCTTTGCCATCTTTGCCTGACTTAGTGTACATGCCGAAGGACCCATCGAAGATCATCGAAGCCTTACCCATGTCGGTCAAACTCTGGCCACTCCATCCCCATCGTCTCGATCCATCTCCCGTCACCTCCAGGCTATAACCGCTCGCCCTGTTTGGTGGCCTGGGCAACGGCAGATCTGGCCCTGCAGATCCTGTGAGTGTGTTGCTTTTCTGCAAAACAAATGGTTCCAACCTCCAAACCCAACGCCCAGACCATCCCAAACCTGGACTTCATCTGAATCAAAGAGGGATTGATTTTGGACTTTGGATACCCCAAACACTCCATGGGACTGGTGTATATGTATATATATAGTAATATAGGAAACAAAAATGACTACATTGACCCTTTTCAACCACCCCAACTGATGCATCAGGCAACAAGATTCAAGGACCTGCACCGGCCAAAGACCGAGCCTCGACTGAAAGATCTGCCATGCCACATCAGCTGACATGGGGTTGTTGCTTGTATTTGTTGATTGCAGTCATCCGTTGGTACCTACCATAATCTACCATACAGGTCCAACAAACCATCATGTCAGAGTCACAAAGAGAGTTACGCCGCAGAACCACTCTCTACATCCTCTATGTCGCGGCAGTCCATAGGCAACTCGCTTTGCAGTCTGAAGAAAAAGCATTGCATGAGATCCAAAAGGGGACTGACAAAATTGCTCGAGTCAGATGTGCCAGCAACTCAACGTGATTCGAGGCAGATCCTACCGTTTCAGATTTGAACCAGCTGTCACAGCAGCAAAAACAACTCACGCGTGTATCAAAGCATGTTGTGAATGATGTAACTGGCATATCACAGGGGGCGTGAGTGGAACTTCATCCTGACATTTGGTTGGCGTAATGAATTGGTTTCTCTTCTCCTTTCTGCCATGGTGAGACCGGAGGTCATGGCACCCCTCTTGACGTGTCAAAGGAACGAACATTGCTAGAGCTGCTAGAGCTAAGGGAACACTCTGCCCGGCTGCCCGTTTGATTGTTCTGTGAAGAACGCCACACCACCAGAAACACGTCGGTCGTACCGACATCGGGAAAGAACGCCACTGGATTCGTACCGACGGAAGCTCAAGAGCGAAGGCATCTTCATTTGTCTGCAATCTCTTGCATCC